TAAATTCTAAAGTGCAGCTTATTAATTCCTCAATCTCTTAATATCTTATATATCTCCTAATTTTTCTAGTACTCATTGGTCATTATGTTGGATCATCTTGCATTAGAATATCTTTGCATACTTTAAAGCTGTCATTCAAACAGAAGATATGCCATTTGTTTGCTGTTTGTCTTTGGGCTCTTCTTTCCTTCTTCTCAAATTCCTTCCTGAACATATACTAACCACTGACAGTCATCTTCCATAGGCTTATACACTACTTTGTTAATCTTTTATCAAATAGAAGTTGGTGGAATGTACCATATCCACACCCCCCACCTCTGTAGGGTATTTATAGAATTGGGGTTCTACTTGGGCCCTAAATTTTCTGAGAACACTAACCCACTATTTAATTAGGATGGCCAAGTCCTGAGTATGGTCTGTGAATGAGCTAACCAGTGACAACAGGGGCTGAAAGGGTGGGGGACTTTACTACCATTTGGTGACTTCAGCCCCTTTGGTTTCAAAGATCAGCAACTGATAGAAGATAGAAGCATTAATCAAGGAATCCTCGCCCTGGAACTTGGCCTCTTCAGGTTCCTCTGATTCATGCAATGTGTCCTGGCAACCCTTTATGATGTCACAGAAGCCAGACTTTCTGGAGGTATTTCCTTCTGCTAGGTACTAATCCTCCCAATTACCTTCTTCCTTTGCTATGTCTTGAACCTTTTGGAGAATCCTTCCCTCTCCTAAGTCCCTGGGCTCCTGGTATCTGATCTTGACTATTACTAGTCTTGCCTGGAATGAATCAAGATATAGCCATTATAAAAGGTATCATGTATACACACTGTAGTGATATGGTGTATTAAGAAGTGACAAAACCTCGCAATAAATCCTAAACCCTGCCATGGGAAACTCACAGGTATGTAGATTGATTTCTGAATCTTCTCCAGGATCCTCCTTATCCTGCTCTTCTCCTTCATTCTCCTCCTCCTCTTCCTCTTCTTCATCACTGTAGTCCTGGTCATTTTCATCTTCCTTCTGATCTTCACCTGCCTTTTGTTCTCCGTTCCAAATATGCAAATCTTCCGTGATATCGGGCCAAACTTCCTCAACATCAAGCCATATATTCTCCATATCAGGCCACATTTGTCCGACTTGCCAGATCTCCTCGACATCGGGCCAAATCTCCTCTTGTCTGCCCTCTTCCTCTGTAATGGCTCTCTCAACCGCCTGAGATACCAGAAATGCTGCAGTGCCATGGATGTCATCTTCGGCCTCTTTGATAGGCAGCATATGCAGTACAATTTGTCTGGAGTCGTGCCCCATTCGAATACCTTCTGTATCCTGGTCAGGTAAACCTGGTTCTTGCTCGGCAATAGCAGACATTTCAGGAAATACTTGCCAGTTAGGAATTTAATGAAGGTGTTAGCTACAAAAGTGAGGGTGATTGGGTGACTACCACCTAATGGAAGTAGAGAAGGCTCTCCATAAGCGAACAGTGTGAGTTAGTGCCTCTAGTTTCTATAAAGGCAAGGACAAGACAGCACCCAGAGGAGCAAACTACTGAGGCTCTCCCTAAGATGGCTGAGGACTTAGTAGTTAGCAGAGGTGGAGCCTGGGTGAGCCAACAATAGGTCACTTTCATTCATCACAATTGCTGTAAGCTCATTTGCTGAGAAGTGGAGATTACAAGCACTGTGTCCAATGAGAGATCACCATCCTCTTTTTCCATTGTGGCTTTATTGTCTTGAGCTACCTTTTATGGTGATATATGTACTTTTTTTTCCCCTTCATTTTACTCTGTCACCACAATTATAGTGTGCAAATATGGATGAGCCTATCTTCATAGGCACTGTAACTGGGCCCTGATTTCTACTTGACATGGTCTATGCCAATAAAAATAGTCATAAAACAAATGTATAGCTCAGAGCTCAGCAGTAGTAAATAAGGCAGACAGAAAAGAACAAACTGGTAAAAGCTTGAAATGGTTACAATCAGAGCAAAGGGTTGAAAATGAAGATTTAAAAACAGGACCTAGAAAATATTTAGTGCACACTGCCAAATTTACATCCAGCCTCCCATATTTGCACACCAAAAAGAACATCTTGTCAGAAATTAAAAGGGAAGACTTCCTGGGATGACCTGAATAAACTAAGATGCTCTGTTTCATTCCTCTCCACTTAGCCAAGTATTCTCAAATATAAGAAAATGTTAATTTGATGGTGAAATCAAACATCATTTCATATTTACATTAAAAATTTTAACAAAAATGGGAAAAACATAGTATTCTGATTTTAAAATATCACAGTTGGGGGAAAAGAAAAATACCCGTAAATCTCTGCAATCACTCCAACAAAATTTAACTACTAGTAATTTGGCATACTCTCCCACTTCAAGGCAGGAACATGGTGTTGTCATAAAACATTTACATAAATATAAAAGAGAATGTAGAAAGAATAATCAGCCTCACACAAAGAAAGTCCACAGTTCTCAGTGAGCAAAACTAGACTTTCTCTATCTTGCCTTCAATGAGAGACAGTGTTAGAGGCTGAAAAGTGTGTCTTTGGAGTAAGATTTTCAACATTATCATAGTAGGAGCAAGTACTGAACCTGAACTAGTCTATGACTAAAATATTATTAGATGTTAATCTTCTCTATTAAAAAAATCAGGAGCGAGTAAAAGTGGGTAGGATATAGAAGAGAGGACTTGAAAAGAAAAGTCACAGAGCCCTGAGTAGGGAACACAAGTCTCACCTTATCCTCTTCAAAATGTGCTTATTGTCTAGGAAAAACTAGATTCACTGAGATTGCCTGAATCTTTCTTTCTGCTCCAAAGTTCATGTTTAAATTTAATACTCAATGCAACAATATTGATTGTCACAGTACAAGATTTTTATGTCATAAAGGTTACCTAGTGATGAAAGATTTAGTGTCTTATAAAATGAGGGTATAGCATTTATCCCCTCTAGAAGTTGCAACAAAAAATTACCACCATACAAGCAGAGAGAATTCTCTTATAGGGCACAAATTGCCAGTGATTTAATCTTGGATTCCTTAGCATCCAGAATACTAAGAAATAAACTCTATTAACTGTCCAGTCTATGATATCTTGTTAACGCACCACAAATGGGCTGAGAAACTTTTTCCTTGCAAAATGGACTTATAATGTAATTTTCCTGTCCACTACAATGGGAACTGTTAAAAACAATCGTGGTGTAGCTGCTTCATTAGATCTCAGTGTGAACCTCAACTCACAGAACATGGGATCAGGAAGGAAGAGTATATAAAAAATAGAAGAATGTAAGGAAAATGGGGCAGGCAAGCAGTAGGGAAGCTTTGCCTTTTTCACAGTGGTATTTTGCCCATCTCTAGTCAGACATAGTTACTACCACATAGAACTTACAGGAGAAGTGTTATTCTTCCCATAAATTCCCTTTTGAACTGGTTCAGAAATTAGAGAATCTGGAGCCAGTAGACCCTGGTAGCTAGAGCAATGAAGGAGGCCACTATAATTGGCAACAAGGTGAACCAGCAGAGGGAAAGGAGGACACTGGACCTATATCATCCTTCAAAGAGTAAAGGATGGCCATCGTTTCATTTATGCTTTCCCATGCTTAGGAAATTTTTCTACTGTAATAAACATCAAAAGGGAGATATCTGGGCCATGTAATTGAGTTTAACCAAAATGATATTTTACAAAAATCTTACAGAACAGCCCTGGAACCTTGACTCCATATGCATCATTTTAATGCACATTTCACTTCTTAGTAAAGAAAACACAAAACCTATGCCTTGACTTCTCAGGATGCCACGTTCCCACATGCCCCTGGAAACATGCAAAGCCTTTCCAGTAAAGAGGATATAAAGTTCCTACTTTGGTATGAGTATACATGTTCCCCTAAAAATTATTTTGAAATCTTATTCCGTGAGGTAATGATATGAAGAGATGAGTCCTTAGGGACGAGATAAAGTCTTGGGAGCATAGGCCTGGTAAATGGGATAAATCCCTCTCCAAAAGAGGCTTTCAAATGACCCCTTGCCACTTCACCTGTGAAAGTATTCTCTCATCTGACAGGGACTTTTTCAGCACCTCGCCTCCTTTGCCTGTAGTAAAAAGTGCATTTCTGTTGATTGGCAGCCTGAATGTACTAAGGGAGCCTTTTCATTAATCTTTGGGCATTATTCATTTCCCTCTGAGTGTCCTCAAAAAATTTTGACATGATAAAAATTAAGTTCAGGGCTGGAGAGATAGCTCAGCAGTTAAGAACACTGGCTGTTCTTGCAGAAGGCCCGGGTTTGAATCCCATCACCTACATGGCAGGTAACAACTGTCTGTAACTCCAGTTCCAAGAGATCTGATGGCCTTTTCTGTCCTCTGTGGGCATCGCGTGACATTGGTGCACTTACCTACATGCAGGCAATACACGAATACACGTAAAATAAAATAAAAATATTAAAATATTTTTTAAAAAATATTAAGTTCAGTCAGGAATGGTGGCATATGCCTTTAATACTAGCACTGGGGAGGCACAGGCAGGCAGATCTCTGTGAGATCGAGGCCAGCCTTTCTTACATAGTACGTTTCAGGCCAGCTGAGACTACAGGGAGACCCTGTCTCAAAATAATCTAGAAAAAAGTAAGTTCAGTGAACACTTTTTGTATAAATATGAATGAATATGAAAATAAAAATTAGAGTAAATAATATTAATGTAGGTATGCTGATACTATAATGAGGGAAAAATATAACTGTTTAAGTCTTAAATTTGACATAGGTTGTCATAACTACCATTTGTCTACCTTTCTCCTAGCTATCATACTCTACTAACCCATTCTATATTGCCATTATTCTCAACATGCATCATAAGTGGTCATATTTCCTTACTTGGATCCAACTTTCATTTTTGTACTTTTTGAGCAATCGGCAGTGATACCATTTAATTCAAATGTTTCTTTGTTTATTCTTTGTTCCAGATGACCTGTTTTTTGGAGAAAGTAGATAATGAAGTCAACTGCTATTACTAAGTTGAGGTTAATTTGTGTTTGGAAATCCAGTAGTACTCTTTTATTAAATTGGTTGTGACAGTGTTTGGTACATGTATATTTATGATTATAATGTCTTCTTGGTTAGTTGTTCTGTTGATTGGAGGAATTGTCATTCCTTATCTCAGCTGATTAATTGTAGTTGGAAGTATATTTTTTCATATATATTGAGATAGCAGCACCTGATTTTTTACTTGTTCCCATTTGCTTAGAATATTTTTCTACCCTTTTATTCTAAGGTTTTCCCTGTCCTTGAAGGTAAGATGAGTTTCATTTAGACCAAAAAAAAAGACGGATTTTGTTTCTTAATCATTCACCTAACATGTGTCTTTTGATTGGGGAGTTGAGGCCATGGATGTTTAAAATTATTATTGAAAGATGTGTGTTGGTTGCTGTTATTTTATTTTATTTTATTTTATTTTTGCAATCTTAGTTCTATTTTGTGTTTCTATGATTATAGCTTCTCTTGTTTTTAAAATTATTTTATTTATTATTTTCATTTTATGTGTATGCGTGTATTGCCTGAATGTAGGTAAGTGTACCCATGTCATGCAAAGCCTGCAGAAGAGGCTGTTGGATCCCCTGTAACTGGAGTTATGGACAGTTGTTAGCTGCCATGTGGGTGTTGGGATTTGAACCTGGGTCTTTTGCAAGAACAGCCAGTGCTCTTAACCACTGAGCCATCTCTCCAGCCCTGCTTCTCATGTTTTTTTTTTTTAATATGGCCTATTGGCTATACTTATTCATTATTCACTCCATAATATTGCTGCTAATGTTCTCTGTAGGGTTAGTTTAGTGGACATGAATTCATTCAGCCTGTTTATATTGTGGAAGGATTTTCTCCTTCAACTATGGCAAATAGTTTTGCTGGGTAAAGTAGTCTGAGTTGGTATGCTGTGGTCATTTAAAATGTGGAGTACATTGTTCCAGGCTCTTATAGCTTTCAAAATTTGCCTGGAAGAATGAACTGTGATCTTCCTACTCTGGGGTAAGTCCAGGATCATGCTGCTCCAGGGCTCCCATCTACCCTGCTTAGCAAGTTAGAACCCAGTCACATGTTCCACATCATCCTACTCTAAGACTAGACCAATCTGTGATGCCAGGGAGCTCCAGAATAGCCTGACAAGTGTAGCTCTCATCATTCATCAAAGAAGCTTCTTTTTGCAACAGATGTAGACTATTACAAAGTTCCACAACTGGTTAACACAGAGAATAATTGTGTGTGTAGGGCCCAGCCCTATGTGACACATTTATAATGCAACACTTCTACAACTAAAGCTCAGGAAGCATAGCAGTACAGGGGATGGAAAGAATATTAATGCATCTATCAACTGTCATCAGTGATG